CACAAGACAGCAAAGCGGTCAAAGTTGGAGGTCTTCGCTCTTAGGTTAGAGGCCGTCGAAGGCAGGTTGGGGGCCATCGCTAGTAGGTGAGAAGAAGCACAAGACAAACAAGACATCAAAACAGCAAAACAGCAAAAGTTGGGGGTCCATTCTAGTGGGTGGAGGCCAAAGTTCAAGTTAAAGAACCCCTTACAAAGTTTGGAGGCCTACCTGTAACCTATAGGGTAGCCTTAGAGGAAAACAGAAGGAAAGGCACCGACACACAAGTGTGTCGAGTACCATTTCCTCCTGTTTTCCTAAATAGGGGAACAGGTACGGAAGTTTGCGTCCAAACTTCCATCCAGTCGATTTCCATAGCTTCATTGGCGTGACTAGGAAATCGACCGTCACGCCCCCTGTTCCAAACCTTAAGGTTCCCTCTGACTCCAAGGGTTACACACACACACACACACACTTGACATTACTTGAGATTTAGCTGAAGCCCTGAAGATGTCTATGTAAGCCAAACAGGCTAAATCGACAGATTCAAGTCTGAGCATAAGAGCAGCGGCATCCTGCATACTGTTCATATTTTTGGTGTAAATTCTTGGGACCCTTTTTTGTTCATGCGGTTTCTCTTTTTGGGGGGACCTGGATGTGATTTTAGGAGAGTGCTCCTTAGCTCGATTTGCGTAATTTGATTTAATTTTCACCAATATGGCCTTGCAAAGAAGTCAAAAACATGCGAGCGCTTTGAGTCTTTATATATATTATATATTATTGTGCTAGAAGTGACGCACGTAATATATATATGCTCAAGTTTCAAGTGTGCATGCAGAATATTCAGAGGGCTGCCCACTTCTGAATTTTTCAGCCATCCAGGGTTCCTTGCAGCTGCTTGCAGCTCCTCCCGTATGCTTGTGCAGCATATTTAGGGTACCCAGTGGCCCATTGTTGTGTACAAACCACCGGCAGTGAGTCCTCTCAATCTCCAACGGAGACATGCACTGCTTTGATTGATATGACAGAGTCGTAAGGCCGTGCCGGTAACAGCCGACCCCAAGTCAAGTTCGGACTCCAGTGCTCGAAACTCAGACAGGGCAGTCTTCCAAAGTGCACATAGAGTGGATGCTGGCGTTCCCTCCTACATGTGCTCTTAGAGATCATTGTTTTCCATGCCCACACCGGTGTTTGAACATAATTCTCTTTTTCTGACTAGCTGGAGTTGTTCAGAACTCAGCTGAGTTGTAATGAACCGAGACTAAACAGGGCGACTCCAGAAACGGTACAGTATGACCTGACGCACAGATCAGGTGGCAGAAAAAGTCATACCAAAGCGACGCTCTGAGAGCAGCTCAAAGTAGGGCCATCATTCCAGAATTTCAATTTCTTTTTATAGACTTGCTTAGCGATGGGAACACATGATTGAAGAGTGATAGTGAATGAGAATCATATCTTGGTCGAACATCTTGGATGTCCAACGCATGAACTCCATCACTGGTGATAAGCATGAATGTCCGCACACCACTTGCATCAGGCCTAGCCAGCCTCCGGCGAAGGACAGTGGAGAAAGTTCATAGTTTCATAGGTTTTCAAGATTTTCCAATGTCAGGTTCAAGCAGGATCCAGTCACCCCAGTCTCACAGTGTCTCAGCCCTTTTTCACTGTCCAATCAAGTGGGCGCTCTGTTTCATGACAATGTAGAGGCCTTTGACAAAAGCCAAATGCTTGGTATTCGAAATCAACAAAAAGCTCACACAAAAAGATGGAAGCTATACTGTAGGGGTTCTAAGTCTTGATAACCAGGCTTTGATCGCAACATACCGCACCTTTTTGCGAACCCTGGAACTGTGGAACTTTTTGCTACCCTGGCGTTCTGGAGCCAGACAGGTTTTGATCGCATTCTGGAGCCGTCCCCTGATCCCACCGCGTTGCTTTCCCTTTGCTACTAGTAGCTTCTTGTTCCTAGTAGTAATGCCAGGAGCTACTAGTAACTAGTAGCGTTCTTGCTCCTAGTAGAAATGCCCTTGTTACTAGTAGCTTCTTGTGACTTACTTCACTACCAGTGTAGCCGGATCCAGTTGGCGTTTTTGGTTAGCGGCTATAGAACAACCGCATACAGCAAGTACACCCTGTGAGTCTTTTTATCCAACGTGCTATCTAGGGTCTAGGCCGGTGAAATGCACACGATTTTGGACACAATCACATCATCTACCTGCCCACAGGCCCCGCCAGTTGCTTTGATGAGAAAGACCTGAGTCTCCCTGCCAACGGGCAAAGCTGGCTTTGTCGAGTTCTTGTCTCTAGCATCATAGTTTCGATCAGCATAGGCCTATGTAGCATAGTATCACTTTCTTCAACTTTTCTCCGCTGGCAGGGGATCCCGACCCTGAAGTTTGGACAAAGATCCCGCTGTCACCCTTAGTGAGACTTAGCGAACGTGAACCATATGACTTGGTGAACACTTTGAGTATCTCTTGTCATTGCACCCCTTCAATTGGATGCTCAACCAGGTGCAAATCTGAGTGGCAGTGACGTTGAAAATCTAAACTTCAGGTCCCGACATCAAGGGAATTTGGAGCACACCGTGAGTGGGCTCCAAAAAGTCTTGCAGTGGACAAAACATGGTGCGCTGTGCCTGCGCAGACCTGGTCTTGCAGCGCTTGATCCCACAGCATGTCTTGCTGTAAAATTCAAATCCCCAACAAAAGAAGAGAACGGCCTCACTCACCACTGCAGGAACTATATATTCCATATGAACCCAACCCCGGGGCACGTTTCCCCGCGCTCAGTTGGCCGCCCAAGCCGCCCATTGTCCGCTTCAAAGCTCAGATGGAGCTGGGGGGCCTGGCCGGACCTCGGAGACGGACACGGAAAACGCCAGCGACCTAGGAGTTCTAATAGCAAACAGTTTTAAGACCAATGGCCTCCAACCTACTGTAGTAGCTTCTTGTTACTAGTAGTGGCCTCCAACCTAATAGCGATGGCCTCCAACCTGATAGAGATGGCCTCCAACCTAATAGAGATGGCCTCCAACCTAATAGAGATGGCCTCCAAGCTACAAATTGTGTTGTATTTTTTAGATCCCGACTGAGATATTTGGACTTGGCAAATCGGTTTGGACGTTTGGACTTTCTGCAGGGGAACGCATGCAAATGATTACTCCAGCACTCAAGCTCCACGGCTGTAGTGTAGCACAAGCTTGCATGACAGATCATCACAAGACAGAGGTGTAGTGGCAGTTTGTTCAAGTTCGATTTGTTCTTTTGGACAATTTTTTTGGTTGTTTCACTATCCTCGCAACAGCCGGAGCTTGGGATCTCCAGCGATGATAAGAGTGATATGGCAGAGGCCACAACAAAGAAATTCATAAAGCAAAGGAGGCCACATCTTGTTTCTGGGTCCGACACTGCCCGAGGTTTTCCAAGCAGTTCAAGGCACAAATGCATGTCTTGGATCAGACGGTGTGCTCTTTCCAGCATTTGGCTTCACAGGTTGTGTTCGTTAGAGGAAAGATCCTCATCTATCCTCATGTGAGGGATAGTCTACCCAATCGGTCCTGAATCCTTTCGGCACTTTGTCACACTGGACTGGCGCCAGGGAGAAACCAAAGAGGAGAAAGAGAAGCGGCAAGAAACCTTGAACTTGGTGGGATTGGGGGACTTGGAAAATTGTGCGCTTGTCGCTGTTGCGTTTGTTTGTTTGGTTGGTTGGTTGGTTGGCCGGTTGTTTACCTACTTGCTTGCTTGTTCAGTTCTTTAATTGATTCAGTTCTTTTAATTATTTGTTCCTTGAACATCGCTGCCCAGCGCATGAATAGACATACTGTAAGTAGATTGCAGACTTTAGCATGGTTAAACGAGGTCGATTAGGCACAAATCACAAATGTGCCCACAATTCAGTCACTTCATGCGCTCCAGGCGGATGAAGAGAAAAGACTTCAGGGCAGTGATGAAATTCTTCAGGATTCCAATCCAAGCTTTTGCTGCTTCGGTTTTTGGGTCCTGGAATCTTGCTTGGGAATAACAACAGTGATGAGTCTTTGTTTTAGTAATTATATAGGTCCTAAGGAATGAACTTATTGCCATGACAAATCAAATGGGTTTGGACAAATGTTCATAAGACGGAACTGCAAAGCATCGGGGTGTTTTTGACGAGGACATTACGCTAACATGGATCAACATGTACTTCAAACTGGACGTGCTGACTGAGCGGCATCTCATTGTCGGATGCTTGCGACAAGCGTTTTTTGCACCTTCGTATGACGTAGAGATGCTCAGGCAAGCTTCCCGATCATTGTGTTGTGCATGATGGATGTGATCTACCCAAAGAAGGTGAGATGGCACCAGGCCGCATGAAGCATACGAGGTGATGCTCACAGCATGTCGTCAAGGACACCATTCAAAAAGCAAACCGTTCTTTTTTTTCAATTTTTCCCCTGATCGCTGCTAGCGCCACCAACATCACGTTCTAGCGCTGCTAGCCCCTTTCTTTCCATGTTGACCGAGTCTCGCAGGTCAACTGGAACACAGCCTACATGCGAGCATGAGCCTCAACGATGGGAAATCTGCCTTTCTATGTCTTTCTTCCGTATCATAGAGCCCTTTCGGACAGATGGGCCAGCATGATGGCAGCAGTGCAAATGAGTTCATTTTCCACTCTTCTAGCCAAGACATTTTGCGATGTAGACTCACTCTTCCCTGGTCAGGCACTAAAGCAGAATCATGCCGTTCTGGAGAAGCACTGGTATGAGGCAAGCCTCTGGTGACGAGCTGGGGAACTTCCAAGCACTGTATCGCATTTGTGCTTTGTGATGCTTGGTGTCTCAAACCGGCGCAACTCAGCTCGATGCAGGTCAATATGAATAAGGTCAAGGAGAGCTTGATTCTGTGCGAGTACTGCCCAAAGTTCTGCCACTTTCACAAGTCCTTCTCTGTGGGTGTCAGGACCTGCGAAGTGAAAAGATTGGTCACATCGATAAGTTGTTGCATGCGCCCAGTGATGAGGCCAGCCTCCTTCAAGGGACTACACGGCTGCTTGCCAACAAAGACCACTTCTCCAAAGATAGGAAAGGTATCCATAGACTACTCCCATTTTCGTGAGTGCAGTGCCTGCGCTAGTTTGTTTCTGACCCCACCTGCTTTTCACGGCGCAGATCATAGGAGTGCCATCCAACCCCAGACAAAGCATCTGACGTGAAACTGCCCGACTGCTTGGACACCTGCCAACCTTTTGTCGAAGTCCTGAAAGCTGGTCCCAAACAAACAAGGCCTTCACACTTGGAAGGCCTCAAGAGGCAGATCCATGCCTCAAGAGGCAGATCCATGATCCAACCGACCAGTTTGGTTTTGCATGCTGGGAGATGTTTGAATGTTTGGAGCTTTCTTAAACCACAACCAACCAAATTGTGGTCAGTCAGTCAGTCAGTCAGTCACAAGGGCTTGTCTCCTCAGTTTGTTTGCGCCTGCGCATTCATTTTCAGTAACTGGAAAAGTGCAGCATATTTTTTCATATTTTTTCGATGCATTCGTGCGTGTTGTGTATCGTATGATTTCTTCGTACCATGTCCTCTATTTTCTATACAATCTGCCGAAGCTTTGGCCAGAAGCTGAGCTTCTTGAAGCAAGTGAAACGCTGGTTCGACTGTCGGCCGGGCCTGGCATGTTTGACTTTGGAGCGAGGCCATCTGACTGGAGCGGAGTGAAAAGTGGGTCGGGACTCTCACGACTCTTGCAGGGTCTTGCACTCGAATGCCTACGACCCGATCAAGCGACGCACTGAGATCGAAAAGCAGTGCCTTGGCAGAGATCCAATGAGTTGGTAGAGAACACCAGGTCCATGATGGTGCCAGGGAACTCTTGAATACAAACACAAGACAATATAGTTCATAAGACCATAAGACTATCCACTCCACCGGCTGTCAACTGGATAGGCTATCCGTGGATAAGGGCATGGATTCGGTCTTTCCCACTGGGTGTTGCTCTTCTTAGGATTCGGCTCTCTGGGCGATGGATGAAATTCCCTTCGTGGATGCAGTTCGACAAAGAGGTGCCGCCAGCTGTGCCATTGATCCAACACGCTAGATCCTGCGCTTGCGCTGGCGCGCAGGAGATCCAGGCCAATCGTGCAAGGAAGCCAGATCCAAAGATTCCAAAGCTCCGTCCTGAGTTTGGTTCAGTTCCATCACTACTACGGACTGGAAAGTCTGGAGCATCGTTGCAGAATGTGATAATATAAAGACACTTTACACACTCTGACATTGGTTTTCAGTTAGACTCAATTGCCACGTTGGGAAGGAAGGTGAGGGAACGGAAAGGCGAATGGGTCCGATCACTTGAAATGTTAAACATTGTTTCACTCGCTCTGCTGGCTGCACGGTACAAGCGGCTGAAAGCTGCAGTGGAAAACCTGTTTAGGGGTGGTAACATGAACAACCATGGAATCAAACGGAGCAAATTAGACAGCGTGGTCAAAAGTTCAGGTTGCAGGTACGTCGAAGAGCGTCCTCTTTCGATATCCTAGTCTGAACCTGGAGCTTCGTTGGCTCACGCCAGGAACAGACCCGTGAGCCCCCTGCTGTTGTGGGATGCAAGTTCAACAAAAACCCTTGGAAACAGGGTGCGACACACACAAACAGCCGATTCCGGCGCAAGTGTGCAGAACGTTGAAGGTGGAGCTTTGTACAAAAAGCGCCAATATTGGCGCTGCGAAAAACTAATAGCCACCTAAAAAGCCTTAGAAAGACAGACAAAGCAAACAAAACAAAAGCAGACTAAGAGGGCAAGAAAGAAAGATAGGGGTAGTTACGAGGCCCACTTAGTTAAATGAAAGTAGAGCGCGAGCGGGACATTTGTCTTAAACCGCCCGGGTAGCTAGCAATAGGCTAGGAGAAACAGAAGGAAAGGCACCAACGCACAAGTGTGTTGAGTGCGATTTCCTTCTGTTTCCCGAGTAGCGGGTGGGGTAGCAAAGGGGCCCAGGGGTAGGGAGGGGGAAAAAATGCACAGTGAATTGGTCCGGCCTGTGATTACTTAGCAGCACATGCACATGTGAATACGTAGCCGTCAAACATCTCAGTTGCAGAAAGGTGCTGAAAGGTGGGGGATTCCGTCGTTTATAGCCCGGCGGCTCGAAAATCAGTAAATTCAGTGATAAATTGGACAAACAGAAAGTCGGAATGGCTTCAGCGCCTCCTTTCGGAGGGTCACGCCCAGTACCCACGTGGGAAGACTGAGCGGTTCACACTCTGACATTGGTTTTCAGTTAGACTCAATTGCCACGTTGGGAAGGAAGGTGAGGGAACGGAAAGGCGAATGGGTCCGATCACTTGAAATGTTAAACATTGTTTCACTCGCTCTGCTGGCTGCACGGTACAAGCGGCTGAAAGCTGCAGTGGAAAACCTGTTTAGGGGTGGTAACATGAACAACCATGGAATCAAACGGAGCAAATTAGACAGCGTGGTCAAAAGTTCAGGTTGCAGGTACGTCGAAAGAGCGTCCTCTTTCGATATCCTAGTCTGAACCTGGAGCTTCGTTGGCTCACGCCAGGAACAGACCCGTGAGCCCCCTGCTGTTGTGGGATGCAAGTTCAACAAAAACCCTTGGAAACAGGGTGCGACACACACACACACATATATATATATATATACATATAGTACCCCCCTCACAAATGTCGACCCCCTTTAGTTTTGATTGGTATACATTTGCGGTGTTTTATGCAGTTTTGGGTACACAAATAATGGGCCTAGCCTTAAATAACAATTCATTCGAGAGGGGGGGTAACCCTGCAGAATTTTGTTTCAGTATAATTTACCAGGATACACCAAGGAATATATTTTTTTGGTCCCCCTGTCCAGGTCAAGATGTCAGCAGATGTTCAGTGTTGCATGCTGACACCCTCAGATCCGTGGTTGGGGCCACGGGGAGTCCCCGGGCGCCACACGGTGAAGGTTGGGCTTCACCGGCGAACCCCGTTAAGGGAATAGACACAGAGACACGGGGAGGGGAGAAAAAGTGTACAACAATTAGCTAGTTAGTAACTGTTACATATTTGGTTGGTCTAACTCCTTCATTTCCTTTCTTCCCTTGATGCTTGGAGTCTGCTTAAGGAACGTTTTGAAAATTCGCTGGCTTTGTGGGAGGGCGGAGAGAAACCTGTGCTTGCCAGTCCACGGAAAAAGAAGGCTGATGCGACTCTGCGTGCTTCATTGATGCCTATAAACCAAAACATACGAGTTAATATGAGTTAAACTGTCCAATAAACTTTGTCTAAATTATTCCATGAGGCAGGTGGCCCTCCAGAATAATGGTTCAATCTATGTCAACCCACCCCAGAATAATAAACACATTTTTCCCAGGCGGTCCCCTACCCCTACCCCTACTATGGTAGGGCCCATCAAAAAAATCGAACAAACGCAAGGCACTTCCCAATTCAAAAAACAATAGCAAGTGAAAGGTAAGACATAAAACAAATATCGCCAATGACAAAAAGCAACACAATAACAAGACCAAACAACCCAAAAACAAAAACAACTTTGAGGAGAATGTTTGGTTAATTCTCAAAAGATGTTTTTTGTTGGTTTTGATACCAAAAAACCAAAAAACATTGTGTTCTTTTGTTTTTGAAGGTTTTTTGTACTAGAATACTACCAAAAACAAAAAGCAATGTATTTTTTCATTTATCCAATGGACTCCAAAATTTAGATCTAGTTCAATTCTATTTTAATAGTTATACAATTTTAGGTCTTTTTGACACAAAAATGAACTGAATTCATACAAATGTACTTTCTAAGTATCTTTTAAGTCTATTGATTTCTATTTAAATGAATACCTAAGCCTAACTTAATTCTAAGTTTATATTTTTTGATTCGATTTTAAACCTGACTGAATTCAATGTTGAATCTAATTGATTTAGTTTCAATCTCCAATTCTAATTTAATGCGAATTCAATTCTAATTTCGTTCTATTTTAAATGCAAATTTATTTTTAATTCCCATTCAAGGCTAATTCTAACTCATCATTACAGTAAGTGAATTCTAATCGAGCTGCAGGCTAAGCATCTCTATTTCAATTCTATCTGAAGTCTAACCCAATTCATTTTTAACCAATTAAATTTTCATTAATTCTTAGTTTAATTCAAATTCAAATCTAATCTAAGTCTAATGTGCTTTTAAATCTATCTCGAAGTTTGTTCTAACTTAGTTTGATGTCAATTCAAATTTAGTCTTATTTATAATTTCAACCTATTTGTAATTAATTTTAGTTTCAGCTAGTTTAAACCTTATACAATTTAATTTCAGTTGTTTTACAATTCTAGTTTAGTTCTGTTAGATTTCCAGTTCAATTTTGCTTCATCCTATCTTAATTCTAATCTGGTTCTAGTTCATTGCAAAGTTATTTAAAGTTCAATGCAAATTGAATTCTCATGTCAATGTAACTCTGCCTTTATTCTAGAGGGTTTCGCCGGGGTTGTGATTTTAAGAAGGCTAAAATTATATACGAGGCTTTCAATTTAAAAGCAACACGCGCTCTCTAGAAGCAAATTAGAATTGCACGAAAACCAAAATTGGATTAGAACACATACTAGAACTATATTAGACTTAAACATAAACTGCATAGAAATTAAATTGAAAAGAAGTAAACATGAAACCGTTGATTTGCATTAAATTCCAATTAAACTAAAGTATATATCTAAGTTACTCAACTTTCGAATTGAACTGACTGATAATTGAAATAGAATTAACATTCTACTACAGTAGATTTAAAAAGATTTGAACTTGATTTCAATTAGAACTGAACTAGAATTAGGTCATTCAGGATTTCAATTATCATTCAATGCAATTTTAATGTTGAGCAACTTCAATATATAACCTATTTTAACTGGGATTCAATGCAAGTTTATTTATATTTAATGCTTGCTTTTTCAATTTAATTTCTATGCAGTTTATGTTTAAACCTAATATAGTTCTTTTCTTTTCTAATGTAATGCTAGCTTTTGTCCATTTCGAATTTGCTTCTAGAGGGTGCGTCTTGTTTTTTAAAATGAATGCTTTGTATATAACTTATGTGTTGCGTTCTTAAAGGTTGTTTTCTTAAAATCGCAACCCAAGCAAACCCCTCTCGCCAGAATAGGGTCAGACTTAAGTGAGAGTTATGTTCAATTTCCATTGAGTTAGAAATAACTTTGCATTGAACTAGAACCGAATTAAGATTAAATTGCAATTAATCAAAATTAAAAAATGGCTATCGAAGTAGAATTAAACTAGAATTGTAAAACAACTGAAATTGAATTGTATAAAATTTAAACTAGCTGAAACCAAAAAAAAAGGATAAATAAATTGAAATACACACCAAACTAGAATTGAATTACCATACAACTAAATTGGAACTAACTTCGAGATAAAATAAACGCAGGTGGGTTTTTGGGGAAAGGTAGACATTGGGGGGTAACATATATATATATACATATGCATATAATGGTGAGTGACGTTCACAATTTCGGATCGGCGACGGACTTGGTCAGGAAGAATTCGACATTGATTGCCTCGTATATTCAATTTATTTGTGCTAAGTGTGTTGTGCATTTCTTAAAAGATAGGTCAAATGGACCTCTACAGTTTCAGACTGAAGTAACATCGGAAATCGGCTTCAGGTCTGGAAAGACGGAGGCGACCACTGAATTCGAGAAGATGCCCGAGTCTGTGACTGAGAGCACTCGTCTTTGGAGCACTCGTCTAATGTGCGGAAACAGGTTGGGCAAGTTTGGAAAAGACTGGCCCTCCTTGCAAAACCTGTTTGTCTCAATTGACCCAGGCTGCTTTTGCTCATCAGCAAGCCACCACGCAGTTGTTGATCTGAGGTTCAAACGGTTACTGTGGTTCCTGGGATCATCAGAGCATCAGACCATGTGACTTGGTCTTGAGAGCGCGATGGGCCCACCTGAGCAGCTTCAATCACCATCCTTTGCATATTTAAGGAGTGGTAGCTATCTATGCTTGCAGCAAACCCCTGGAGGTTGAGTAAGCCATTTGCATAAGCGATGACTGATTTCCCTCCACGCAAGCAAGGACGTAAGGACTACGATGGACAACCTCCATAAGCTAATCGCGTATGCGCATGCTACAGATACCACCCTTTCGTATGCACAGATGTACTGACACCGCTCGCTTACACGAGTTTTGGCAACGCATCTGTTGGACAACTGAAACTCTCACCATTGAGACCGCGTGTGTACACGACAGCCAGCTCTTTACAAGAACATTGCACGTGCTCTTTTGCTGGTTCAGGTGACCATCAGCAGTTTCACAGCTAGGCTAAAGTGAGCCTGGGTGATACGGCAGGAAGGTCGGAGAGCTTTGACCAAGACGCTAGTGGAACAAGCAGGCAAAGGCGCGAGCTCCATTACATGAGTTATGTTGATGTGAACTTCCAGGTGCCAAGCCTGTTTGTTTGCTCCAGATGATACCACTTTCTGCCAGAACGAGGAAAAGAGAGCTTGCGCTGGCCTTGAGCGAGGAAAAGGATGGGAGAACATGTCAAATCCTTGCGAAAGTCACTGAGTATGGACCGGAGCTATCATGAGCTACCCTTAGTGGGCTTGGAGGATTCTGGTAAACAGAAGGAAACATTGTTGCTCAGGTTCTACCAAGTCTATGGTCGTGGTCTTGGACGTACCAATCAGCGACCCCTTGCTCACCTCAAGATCTGGGATTTTCATGGATTTTCCGGAAGGAAAAACATGAACACCCACACGCACATGTTTCTTCTTTCGATTTTTTCTAGCTTGGGTTCTTCGAAGAAACTTCTATATGAGGAGACGAGGCTATTGGCTATTGCTCCCTCATCCAACAAACGACAGCTTTGGCTCGAGAAAATCCCAAAAGGCAGGTGTGGACGACCATGCCCAGTGCCAAGTGTCCGACACATGAGGACACCTGGCATGCTTTGTATTGCTTGTTTTCTTGTGAACACCTGAATCGCCTTGGATGAAAGTCTGCGAACATTGTTGGACACTTAGAGATATTGATTTGAATGCGGGCAACTATGTCAAGTATGCCCGTTTATATATATATATACTGTATATATATATATATTTTCTTTTTAATGCACCACTTTCCAGCTGGTTTCTGTGATTAAAGTGCGAACGTCCAGGATCCAGAGGAGGCCCTGCTTCTTCAACACACCCCTCCACTTCCAGCAGCTCGAAGCACTACGAGCACCTCAAGAAACAGGGTGTCTTGGTTTGGGTTTCATATTACGTTCGTAGCGATGCCCTTTGTTACTAGTAGCGTCGTCTTGCTCGCAATAGTAAAGCCAGGAGCTACTAGTAGCATTCTTGCTCCTAGAAGAAATGCCCTTTGCTCCTAATAGCGTTCTTGCTACTAGTTACTAGTAGCGATGCCCTTGTTATTAGTAGCTTGTGTCCAAGTTTTTGTATTCATTTTTGTCTTTTTTCTCCTCGTTCGCGCACTGCAGGAAAGCAATGCCGCCAGGGCCAACGCGGCAACATGTGTAGCTCAGCTCACAAAGCATGAAGGACCGGGAAGAGTTCCCAATCGATCAGCCGGTGGAAGCATGGGCACTTAGCACCAGAACCGAAGGGGCCAAAGGGGCCAAACCATCTAACCGACTTGACAAACGTGAGCAGTTTGCCGATTTCATTTCTATGCTTTTGTTGCGCGGTCCTGAGGCATCTGTGTCTTTTGGCTGCCTGGCTTGCACTTCCGAACCGGTCGCTGGATGTAAAACATGCATTGACAACTAAGTGGAACCGAGGTGCTTGTGTAAAGTCTTGCCAAGCTTCAGACTACCAGTCAGTTTTCATACCCAGATTTTGATCAACTGCTAGTCAAGTCGTCTTGTGCTGCATTGAACACGCACAGTGAATCTGGTGTCTCCCCGCTTGCAGCATGTGCAACCCTGTCCATCCCTTTCCTCATGCCTCATGCCAATCCTTGTGCATCAGGTGCAACATTACTTGCGATCCTAGCTGTGGCAATGTGGAACAATCACTTGGAGGGCGAGCTTGATGATCAAGACGTTGACTCCTGGACAAGAATATCTACGGGCTCTCTATCGGGTTCCCGGTATGACCTGGTCTAGTTGTGAGTTGTGAAAAACATTCTGAAGGAATCCGTCATCCGTGTTGCGAAACAGTTTGAGACATTTCTGTCGAAAGCGACTGAGGAGACTTTTTACAAATTTGGGCAAGTCCAAGACCTCCTACATTGGCAAAGTACAGTCATGGACGTGTGTGATTACAGCTCCGAGACAGATGAGCAGGCTGGAGTATCTTTTTGCAGGACACAGCAGTCTAACATGCACTGGATCAGCATGGATCCACATTTCTGGATGCCATCTTCAAACACATTGGCATTGACATTCTTGTGCCTGTTTCTTTGTGTTATGAAAGTGTTTTGCTTGCTTAATGCAGGTGGTGCAGCTTGCAGCTGCGCAAACTTCTCCGAAGGGAGACATTTGCAGCAGCCACTTGATGGAAGCCACTCACACAATCTCCCCACACACCAGCTCCAAGGCGAAGTGCAGTGTTTGCTGCCCCAAACCCACTTGACTGAAGATACTGAAGATGGAAGTATAGGAGGAGTTAGTTGGTACTTGGTACCAAGATTTGAGGAGACTGCTCGATTCTTGATGTCGCATTTCAAGCTGTTTGTAGACAATCTTGGACATCATATTGATTACTCTCTTGATCTTGTTTGGCTTCCGCTTCGGCTGCTTCAGCTCAGGCAAAGTGCTTGCACATCCCTACCCGTGCAATTGGACAGAGCAGTGGCATTGTCCTGCATGGAAGGCCGAAGTTCAACGACGCTTCGGGTTGTATTTGAGACACGACACACCAAACGCTGCAGGTCGCCACCACGCGGTGGCCGGTTATATCAGGTTGTTAGGTTTTGGACTTAGACTTAGACACCTTAATTAGTCTGAAAAGCTTGGTCCTCAGATCTTTACTGTAATAGGTCAGGTCAACAGTAGCGCTTTATCAGGCTATAAGAACCTCGTTTCTTTGAAGAACCTTTTCAACGCCCTTTCGTACGCCAAAACTATCTTGCAGATGGGTGCTGGACATGATTGTCAAGACGACGGAGGAATTGGTTTCTACTGCTGCTGCGAGGTTAGCAGGCCCAGGACTGCTCTTCAGTGCAGACACAATCTGTGACAGCAGTCTCACAATACAGTATCACAATACGTGTGAACTTATAACCTCAGCCTCAGCTGTTAACAGCTGCCTTTGTATTTCGAGTATTCGTCGGCCACCTTCTGCCACCACTGCTGCTTGATACTGAATGTTGTGACTATGTTCACAAAAAAAATATACTTGACCGACCAAGAACTTTCTAGATGTAGTGTCTTTGCTTGACATACCCATACAGTGTAAAGACTTACCAGATTGCACAGACACAAACTGTCCTGCAGCCGTTTCTGGCGACATTGACTCATTGCAGGAGGGAGTCTGAGTCACCTACTGCAAAAGTAACTTCACAAGTCACACGTGTATATATATATATATATATAGATGAACCGTCAGGACCATGACTTGGGGCAGAAGTCCTTTCACTGAGACATTGCCGACACCACAATCACAAATCGCTCGGATCAAGGTGGGCCTTGGCAGAGTTGGGCAGGGGGAGCACAGATTTCGGTGCAGTTGTTTTGTTGCCACGCTTCATCCAGCAGTGAGCTCTCAACTATGGGAGGTTGTGAGCTACAACCTTGAATGGTGGAAGATCTACAACACCATGAAAGGGAACGGAGGCAGCGAAGGAGGAGTTATTGCAGCGACCCATGCGAAGCTCGGTTCAATGCTCACCTCCTGGCAGCAACAACTTGAAGAACAGCAGTAGTCATCAGGCCACACAGCTATCTTCCATGCAAACTCCCCAAGTCCTTATGCAATAGAAAACCGTTCACGATTGCTTCATGGTGCATATAGCCCAGGGCAGAACCAGTCGACCTGATTGCTTTCCAGGAATGTGGAGACTTGGCAGATATTCTAAGAAATTGAGTACAGTATAGTAATATATACTGTAGAATCATGGAGGGATCTTGCAAGAATTCATTTGCAGTCAGACCCAGATCACCTGGCTGAGGAGACAAGGATCGCGTTCTTGCAGATGCAGGCTTGCTCGACAGCCCTTTGGCTCCATCTAAATTGACTAGTCGCAAGAGACAGTGGAAATGGCGCCCTACAAGTTGCGGGTAGCCGTTTACACTTCAGGACTTCCCATGGTCTGTGAATTAGCGCAGCTCATGTTGAGCTCCAGCGCTCAAGTACTCACAAAGGCCACTCATGAAACGGAGTGAGCAATTATGTCAAAGCATGTTACAAGTTTATTGGAGCTGTCGGTGTTCGTAGCCGTCATAGCCTTTCTTATCGGTTCCGATACTGAGGCTTTACAACGTTTGGTGCTCCACACCAGAAATGTGCTGCTGTGCGGAAGGTTCACCAAATGGCATGTTTGTTGTTTTTCGACCAAGGATAGTTATGCAAATTAGATAGCTAAGGCGAGTATAGTCTACGACGGGTCTGAAACGTGTTGTGGCTGTCTTTGCTTTCAACGTGTCACTTTGCGAGGCTGCATGGAGATTCATCAGCAAAGGGCATGAAGACATAGCTGCTCGGCAACTTGAAACATACTGCATCAAACCCTCCAAGACACTTACAATCAAGAACTGGTAACTAGCGTAACCCGAAATACCTCGAGATTCATTCATTGTTCTTTGCAAAAGAGTCCTAGCGACGGCAACATATAGTGCTTAATTTGGCAATGCGTAACTTTGGATTGCTTTGAAAGTTGGATACTATGTACATTCCAGAGATGCTTTTTGCATTGTCACAAGCTGGGTGGATTTTCGATGGAGTGCAGGCCGCAGATGTGTATTGGTGACTCGGACAATTTTCTGACAATGAAGCATATTCCTGTGCCTCGTAAATCACAATTCATAGATTTGATGGATCCTCCCAGGGCTGCACCTTAATGGGCTTTGTTGTTTGCTTTTATTTTGATTTTGAGCGATGTTTTGTTGTTTGGCTTTATGTGAAACTGCATCGAGTTCCTTGTCACTTTGCAAGGAACTTTTTCGGCAAGAGAGGAGTGATGTGGACTCGGCTTTGGCACGTTTCCAGTGGACTTCGAGCTGCATGCTTGCACTTAGATACTCTGAGATCAGCAAACCATAATTTGCTGTGAAGTTGGTCCATTGTGAAGGCATTGAAAGGATACTTGTGTAGCCTGAGTGCTTTTCAGCAAACCCATTGCTGTCTATTGCAACTATGTGTGCTTAAGGTCTAGAGTCTAGAGCTGGCTTTACTCGCACTGCTTCTGCCATGATACCGAAGACTAACATGTTCTAGCCACTGGCAGCAGCAAACTCTCAGCTTCGCTACTGGCCTTTGCTTGTTCAAAGGTTTTCTTTGCCAACTTTCATGGGCCTCTGGCCATCAACTCCGGCGGATGCTGTGGTGGCAAACGCACTGCAAGGAATCTTCTCAGGTGCGCGTGGGCGCCACTGAATCAAAGCAGATTGAATGTGCTGAGCAGTTGTTGGCTCATGACACCCTCCTTAGATCTTCCTGCGCAGATGCAGCTTACCTAAATCTTAGGACTATCAGGGGTGGGAGGGGGCCGACTTGTCCTACACACTGGTTAGTAAGCACTTCAGGACATTGGATGCTAAACAGAACTAAAGCTCTCAAAGCGAATCAACCCCTTACATCTCCCGCCATCCTTGCCTTTGATTCCTTTTCGCCGTCGGATGGAGTGAGAGCGACCGCGCCAGGGTGATTGAACAGAACAGCGAGCCTGGTTACAGCCTCAGCACTTCCAGTCACGCTACGTAAGAGTGTATGTTACATGTTATATACACCAGCTGGCAGCACAATCGCACAGTATTGGCTCACACCTGTACTCTCGTAGGTCCATTACATTGCAACTTCATTTTGTTCGCGCAAAACAAACTGGAAGGAACAATATCTGTCAGATTGCCAGGGGATGTGATCATCCTGCTTGGAGACTTCAACGCAAACTCGGCGTCTCACACCGTTAAGGCATGGGAATCGGCGGTGTTTGTTGACAAGCGCACTGCAACCACGGCCACATCGAACTTGCTTGTACTTCTCACAGTTTCTGCACAACAAAACCCTGCGGTGGCCAAAACGGAGAGAAGAAAGCAATCTGGAAGCTTGGAGGAGCTACGGAAGAGCTTGGTCCACGTGCAGTCAGGCTTGAAGTGCTTTTGTTTACACATGATGTTTCATGCTTTTTGCTTCAAGCCAATCAATCATCGAGAAGAGCGGGGCATCAGGCCATGTCCTGGGTGGAATTGACCATGCCTTCGTCAATCTTCCTCCGCCTAGCTCTCAGAGCTCCAGCCCGTGTTTGTTAGGTTGAATGTCGAGAGAACACAAACTCATTCGAGTTTTCTTCACAAGTTGGACTCTTATTCGTGCACTGGCAATTCTTGGAACAGCCCATTGCTTGAGGTCTACAGTCAAGGCAATGCAAGACATTGGCAGTGGTGGTAGTGACCATCACGCTGTCATGACAGTCTTTGAAATTGACACTGCAGGCGACATGCTGCATGGGATTTGCAAACATGAGGCAACTGCTTGAATCCTTCTTCTGTAAGGATACCAGGGGGTCGGTATTGCAATATGTTTAAGAAAATCACTTGTTGCTGTAGCCTAACACCCGCACCGAAAGAGGCTTCACCATATTTGCGATATGTTCTTGTCTCTATTTCTGGCCTCTAGTGAATGGCTATCTGTTGCTTGGTGATCTTGGAGTCCCAGTCATCTAGATTTTGGGACCCTCAGCTTTGCTCGTGATTGTCTTCAGATCCTGGCCAGTGGACAAATCTGGAGCAGGTGGCTTGGGCAGCGGATCTGGGTGATTGGTGCGTTTGGTTTAGACGCGAAGGTAAATTCCTGTGTCCTCAATCACAGCCGTGGACCTCAAGTAAGTTAGGGTCTGAGCAAAGAAGCGATAGTCATCAACCTTATCATTACTTAAATCATCTTAAATCAAACATTGAATATGAACATAACATATCTATCTAAAACATTTTTTGATGAATCATTAACTCATTAACTTTGAAAGCCTCTTCCAGAATGGGACTTTTTCGAGGCTTCTAGGTTGGAGGCCCTAGTAGGGTGGAGGCTATCGCTAGTAGGCTGGAGACCATCGCTAGTAGGGGGAGGCTTTTTCTATGAGCGCATTTTGATGAAGACCTTGTAAGAAAGAACGGAGAGAGAATACAAACACGAGGAGGAATGACAGCATTACTACAAAACGACTACATACTATGACAGTGTTGGGTCATTTAGTTCAGAAAAAAGTATGGATAGAGACACCTTCTACAACATCAAACGATTGTCAGCGAATGGTGGGTTGGAATAGGGGAGTGGCGACACTAAACCAGAAACTCAACAAGACTCCAAAAAGACTTAAACACACGACTATATATAAATAGTAAGAGAAGTTGGCAGGTGTAAAGATTGTAGATTTGAATTCAGGAAATTTGGGTATACATGCTGACTGTGATAGTGAGGATGAACACCAACGCGACAGAGAAGCAATTGAAAAAGAATATGAAGAGATAAGATAATTTGTACAATGTAATCAAATGCCTTCACCTGATGACGAGGATGGCGACACCGTTTGGCATAAAGTAATTGATAGGTTGAAAGAAAGGAAATGAGCAAATGGTATGACATGACAATATTGTCATTCGTGAGATTTGACATTATGATAATAATGTATGAAAACCTCACAGATAAAAATACATCAATCGCAGTGGATGAACTGCACGATACAAACACTGGTCTAACACAAAGCCGTGTTATTGAACACTGGTGGGATGGAATAGGAAAATGGAAAGCATAAGCACGATTAATTCATAATATCTCAATAAAACACATTATGAACTAATCCTTTAAGCCCAACCCAAACAAAAAGCGAAACGAGACTAAACAATCAGCCACCTCGTTGAATAACACCGCACAGAGTGATTTTTAGCACCAACATTTCCTGAGGACCCCCATGGTCTATCCAGAACCGTTGGTTCTTAAAGCACATGAAGTTGCTCTTTTGCTTCTCGAGGCAGAGATCTATGCTTATGCCTATGCAGTGGACTAGCAATCTCATCTTCGATCGGATTGGGTAGATCCCCTTTTTTTGCCGATATCCTTTGCATGTGTCGAAAGCTCTTTGTGGTTGGGTGGAACACCGGGGCCATAAACGGGGCGACCGGCATGAGAGCTTTGGTTGGTCGCCAACCTGCTGATGTAATTTCTACTGTATCCGATGGGTTCTAGCTTCTGGGAACAAATCCGCAAGAAAGTCAGCGTAATGCGCGTGAGTGGTGATTTGCGAAAGGAATCTCTCGTTGGACATATTCATGCTGTTTGACCGGCCAATACTTGAGGAATTTGCGATACCCATGCTAGTTTTGGTGTGCATGGTTGCTTGGCGGCTGGACAAGAATCGCATCACAAAAAGTATATTTCGAGACCTGCTTTGTTGAATGACTTCTTGGCAGGGAACTTGAATAGTGCAAGTCGACATTTTAGCCTGAGCTCAATCAATTGGACTCTTGCTCATCGACTGTTATGTTGCTAAGCCCTCGTAGCAGCATGCCACACCAATGTTAGTTGCCCCCCAAGAAACAACACAAACTTGTTTGAAGAAAAGGATGCAAAAAAGGTCAAACGGTAGACACATACTTACATACACACAATCATACAGATCATGCACATTTCTTGCATTTCTTGGCTGACCTTTTCAGCGCTCGCTTGCTTGGCCAGAACTCCCAGCTTAGCGAAGCAATCATAGGAGAGTTGCTTGACCGAGAAAGCATGGGCGGAAGGGGTGGAGCCGGTGGCTCGCCCTGGTGCGTTTTTAATCTTGGGTTTTCAGATTGCTTTTAGGTTGGAGACCATCGCTACTAGGCGCTCGGTTCTGGAAGAGTTCTTGGTAGCTTTGTCGCTTCTATATACGCGGTCCTTTGGTCACGGACTGTGGAGTTAGGCACGTCGCATGCCCCAGTCGCTTCTATTCAAAAATCTCAGACTCAAGATCTTGATCAGACAACTTACCAGATTTTCTAGCGTTTTAGAAGAAAAAGAGAAACCTTTACGCTAAGCTTCACATGCACGTATCAGATTTGTACAAACGGCCACTGATGGTTTAAGCAGATTTGAGTGGATGATTGTAGACCTGCAGCTCCAAAGCAAGTTGCTGTTTGGGATGGAAGTCCATCTTGCTGAGGCTTCACGCGGACTTTCCTAAGGATGACTGGAACGACTTTTGGAAGCTTGGCTCCATTTGGGTGATGGTCCTTTAGCATCCGTCATATATCTCATCCAGAATAGCCACTACAGGCCCTACTGAGTTGAGCAATCAGCAAACAGCAAACAGCCACACAACGGGTCTGTATGGTGACGAGCGGCGGCAAGACGGGTCCGACGACGGGTCCGGGCCCCAGGTGCGGACTTGAAGAGTTTGGTGCAAGCTACAATCCGGTAGGCCCGCAGTGAGAGGAACGTCCTAATCATAATCTCTGCGATATTTGGAGAGTGCCAGGGCGATCACAAAGTGACCAGGGCCTTCAGATTTGAGGAAAACATATGAAACGCGTAGCTGGTTGAGTGTTTTCCAGGTCTGTCAGGCCAAATCTGGAGAGAGGTGTGTCTTGACGCAGGTGGGGAGAGCGCAGGCTGGGAAGTTGAAGACCACGTCCCGCGGCTGCAAAGTTCACAACAGATGATTTTGCTGCCTGCCTGGGAATCAAAAGCCAGAATCTGTTGCCAGTCGAAGACGCATGTGCATCCAAGTGAGGTGATCCGTCCTGTCATTCCGAGGTGCCAACTACAGACTGGTGCTGCCGCTGGTGTCAGCGTGACCTCCAGTGCAAAGCCTTTCGGTTTGAAGGCGAGATTCATATAGTTTCAGCCATTTGCCAAGCTTTGTTCCTTTGACTATGAAAGCTGACATCATGCCGTTGCGGATGCAAGTGATGGCACTGCTGTTTGCAGGGATTTCCGGAAGCAACCAGACGAGGCTTGCCGATATGGGACGCCTTTGGAAACAATATGAAACAATATTGGTTTGTTGAAGTTAAAAAACATGTCCATGCCAACACACTGGTCCAAAGTTGACTGCTCAGGTGCTGTAGTCAAGTCGCAGTCAAGGGGCCGTCACCCGCCCCGCGCTTTTCATCCTGTGCCAGGTGCACCCTGATGTCGGCCTATGAGAGAGGTGCACACAACTCTTCTTACCTGACGGTGTCTTCTGGCCTTCCAGCTTCAGTGGCCATTGAGGACTGACAAACGGACAGTGGTGAACGTTCACATGAAGTGTAAAAGACCAGTGAGTACTGCTAGATTCACAGCCAACGTTTTGGTAGTTTTTGATCGCCTCATTTTCCTGAAAGATGTCAATGACTCAAGGGTGCTCTATGTTCGGGAACATTTCATTGAGGTCGCAAATTGCGCGGTCTTGATTTCGAAAACACATCCACTTCCAGCCACTCGAGTGACCACAAGATACCGCAAGTGCCCGAACTGCTCGAGCAAGTTGCCGCAAGTGGCCGAGGAGTGCACCTCACATTGGAAAATGGCTGATGTTTTCCATACGGAGCAGCTCAAAATCGCATACAATTTCCCGTCACCCTGCGGAAAACCAGCGTGCCACAAGTGGCCGCAAGAACAGGTGGACAAAGGTTCACCTTGAATTTTCAAGGAAGCTGAGCGAGTCAGGCAAGGGCTCATGGGACCCCAGCCAAAGCTGCACCAGACTATACGTGCCACCATGCAAAGGAAAATACTCGGCATTTTCCACACAGTGCAGAGGAAAATCGCCTACACATTATTCCGTCCTCCACTGGAAAGCCCATTCAAGTGAGCCCGCTCGAGACACATGCCGGTCAATGTGTTTGGCCACTTGCCGCCACTTGAGTAACGCACGTGGCCGCACAGGGCCAGTGACCGCTCGAACAAGTGGCCACAAGTGGCCGCCCCGAGCAGAACCAAAACGCACGTCAACAGCCCGGCGCTGAGATTCCTGCAGAAAATACCGGCTCAAGCTATGTTCGCGTGTGCCTTTTGCAGACTTTTGTTACTTGGAAAGGTCTGACATTGTTTGATATTGTTTGATGTTCCTTGTTGCCAGTGACTCTGTTCCAGAGACAGACGTGCTGCTTTTTGCAACTTTCGATCCCCTTTGGGCCTTTGGGCGGAGGAGCTTCGGAAAAGCTTTGTAGACAGCCACGTTCGCCTTTACAGATAGGTTCGCCGGGGGATTGGTTGTGAGTTTGACACGTGCTGACCACTTGACCTGTTGCATGTAGTACAGTTGACACATTTTGTGGAGCATGCAGCATGCATGTTGATGATATCAAACGAAGATCCCGCTTCTCGCCGAGGGGTGCAAGAGCATATGCAACTTATTTGGTCAACTAACTATTTGCCATACTCTTTTGTGCGAATATGTTGACATGAACAAATATTGCAGCACGATGGTCATATAAAGGTAGTTCAATATGCACATGCAGCAGGAGGAGGAGGAGGAGGAGAAGTAGTAGGAGTAGGAGTAGGAGTAGGATGGCCGTCGTCGTCTTCGTCGCCGTCGTCGTCTCAGTGAGCTCACTAATGTTGTCTAATTCATAATGATTTGTGCAACACTCCAATACCGGGCATGTCCGATCAAACTTGCACACAGCTTTCCTCCAACAACTCAAATAACAGTTGTGTTGATATTCTGATATACTCTCCAAGTGGGCAGTTGTCATAGAATTTCGGATTTGCGGCATTTGCTTATTACTAGGGGCTAGCCAATAGACCTCAGCACGCTTGGTAAAGAGGTTGCCATGTCATCCTTGCTGTCCAAGCAGACTTCATGAGCTGGTAAGAAACGCTGCAAAGTTCAGCAATTTTGGGACTTGACGTCATCGAATTGATCGAAGCTGGAGGCTCGCCATAGGTGGCCTTCCCGAATCTTGCCATCTCTGAATCTGGCATTCAACTATATAGTATATATATACATTCTTCATCATTCTTCAATGCAATTCCGTACATGAAGTGAGGATTTAGCACTTACTATAATAAGTATAGTGAGTCTCGTCAGATTCTGATAAGGCCTCGCAACCAAGCGTTTTGCTTGGACAGTTGCTTAGAGGCCCCATATGCACTGGTTTATGTGGCCCCATTGGATCTGCTGCCTGTGCCTTCGGATCCCAGGTTACTTTACTTGCCAAAAGAACTGACTCAAAGTCATCCCAAGTCATTGGATGTGTAAGTTGAAGGCACCGGCCAAAGTTCAGCTTCATGGGTGCAGCCTCTGCAAGCTTTTTCACAAATCAAGGTAGAGGCTCTAGACATCTCTACACTCTATATAGACTTTTGTAAACCTTCGCATTCAATGTTGCTCATTGGAGCACTGAATGTGGGTGAGTCTCAAAGGCCTATCGCTTATTGCATTTGATTGCCTTGTTTTGGCCAATTCTGGTAGCCAATATGGACCTTCAACCGAAACCCCGATTTAAGATGATTTAAGCAGGACAGTCTTCCAGCTTTCGCTTTCTTTTCCATATAGATTCCATGTGGTACCAGAGCACGTTGCTCGGCCTTGGAGACTTCTCTTTCGGTCACGTTTGTGTTGGAACCTCAATGCCGACCATTGCAAATGGGGCTGTGATTCCAACGTTCGAAGTTGGCAAAGGTGCGGTCATTGAACGCGCTTAGGTGGCAAAAGCCATAATATGTCAGAATGCCTCTTGCAGGACGCAACAGATCGTTTCAATGCTTTATGCACAGGACGCTTGGATGCCTCTGCAGGAACGGGCACTTGGGTCTGACTCTGGAGTTTCATATGCAGCAGTGCTGTCCACATATTTGATTGAAGATGCTTTCGGTGTGCTTCCAGCAGAAGAGTTTCTCCGGAATCTCTCAAGAGTCTTGCCCCTTGCCCTGCTCGTCCAGCATGAGGCATGTAGTGGGCAAGAAAATGTAGCGTGCTGTTCACATTGTAAGTAGTCAAAGAAGCAGCAATGAACACCTGTCTATGCCAAGAGGCTGACAGGCCGTTGGATAGTGCATGTGGATTCCAGAATATTCCAGATGTTGCTTCAACCTTTAGGTAATACTGCACCAGAATTATGTATGTATGTGTAGATGCTTTCACCAACAGCCGTTAGGTTGCAGCAGAGCCATCATCATTGTCAGCCACACATGTGGACATGAAAGACTTAGCCGCCTCGATCTCCATGCAGGGACAGAACGTGTTGCTTGGTTTTGCATGCGACTCATACACCCAGAAACAACAGAAACTACTCAATGCAATACCATCCAAGTAAGCTCTCTTTCTAGGGATCTCCACTGGGCAAGAAAGAACTTAATTCCGTATATTGCTTCCATGGCGAGCATCGAAGACCGATGACCTTACGGCGCTTTTTGGCAGAGGACCTTTATTGTCCATGGCAGTCACCAAATCAAGCATAGGTAATGGGGCTTTGCGGCTGAATCAGGCTGCGTGAAAGTGACAACTGTTGTTGCCGTTGTCGCCCAGATCTGCGTGTTCCACCCACCAGGATTCGAGGGACCCTTAAGATCGCATCTTTCGCATAGTCTCACATAGTCTCACATAGTGTCCGTTGTGACCCCTACATCTTTCGCTATTTGACTCTCAACGTGCTCCGAGATGCGCCCATCATCCAGGGAGCTCATCACCATGGCAACGCTTGGACTGTGTGTCGCCTCAAGGAGCTGCATAGAGCTGACCTCGTCCAGTGAGGATCTCAGGATCGTTTCTGATCACTTGCTGGAAGTGACACGTTTGAAGGTGGTGTGATTGTACTGTTGACGGGCAGACTTGCAGCCTTGCGAAGTCGTACACAATGTGCAATTCGCACTGCTTCTCATTCAGGAACTTCATAGTGGTTCACCCGAAACGCGCAGGCCCCAGGTCAGAATTGCCGCAACAAAGCTAAACGATTTGTCTGCCTTCAACTGCACAAAAAATCAATCCTCTTTGATCCTCTTGATCACCATTAATCATGTGGCTTAATTAGTCTACAGAAGTTAGGTATGGCCTTGCCCATCTTCCAATAGCTCCAACCCCAACCCAAACTCTCACAACTAACCATCTCAACATCTCAAAAACCCTAGGGTCCCCCCCCACACTTTTCAAATTCCAACCAAAAAATGAAAAAAATATTTTTTCAACAAGTTCCCCAAAACCAACAAATGATAACAAAACTTGAAAACATGTATTGGAAGATGGGCAAGGCCATCCTCATAGAATACTACAGTTGCACCTCAAAATAACATTATTCCAAGATATAAACTAGTATTATTTTGGGCGAGGTTTCCCTCATTCATTCCAACCTTTCATAAGGGGAGCTGGACAAGCAGAGTTAGAGAGCTTAGTTTTCTTTTTTTGATAACTATTTACAACTACAATTACACCTGCAACAATAAGCAACTACATTATCTAAAGTATGTGTCAAATCATTGTCTTTTCTTTGGCAAGTCAAATTACTTAACACATTTCCACCTATCATATCAAGATGAAAGCCGCACCCACAATAATTACATTGATTATTTATATTATCCAAAAACCACTGAGCATTTACATAGCCTTCCTTAGGTATTTTCTTTTTGCGGTCTTATCCTGTAATTTGTATTTCTCAATGTTTCTTTTAAAAGAACTCATAATACATTTCTTATTAACATCATCATTAGTATCATTATTATACTAAAAAAACTTTACCTTGTTTAAATCTCTACATCTTGTCAAAGCAGTCCAAATCCACTCTCTATCGTTTTTGACAAGAAAATGGTTATAATCAAAGATAGTTATTTCATCATTTATGCTACTGCCTTGAGCTGAATGACAAGTTGCACACCAAGCAAAAATAAAGTTTTTTTTCTAACTTTGTCAATGTGTAATGATTGACGTATATTAGTTTTAATATGTTTCAATGTAATGACACCACCTCCAATATGAACAATTTTATATCTAAAATTTACGTTAAACACACTGGTTTTTGTTTTGGTATATTCTCTACATATTAAAAAGTCTCCTACCTCATATTCACCTTTTCTATTTTCAAGTTTCCTAATCTCACTTGATACATTCTTACAAGTTTTATTCAAATATGCTATGTTATATTTTGATGATGCAATATCATCAGTATATCTAAAGTATTTCTCAATGAGTTTAGTTGTGGATATTTTATTCACAAATATGTCAGTCTTAATATTGTTTACTTTTTCCTTATCTTCTTCTGTATTAAATCTCTTAAATGTTTTCAATAATATATTTTGTATATTCAAACATATTATCTATGATTTCATCAGCATATTTTTCATAATCTTTAGTATTTGTCAGTTCTTGAACTGGCTTCAATTGCTTTGTATCACCTGTAGCAATTAGACTTTTATTATGCTTATTCTGTTCAACAAACTGCTTTATTTTCCAATATACACTCAACCCACTAAAATAAATGTCATCAACTACAATTACATCATAACAACTAAAATCACAGTGTTCTAATTTAACATCTCCAAAATTTATACCAAAAAACTTATTGATTGTTATGGCTTCACCTTCAAATTCTTGAAGAAGCCTGTTAGTTGGACAAACACATACTACTGTATAACCTTTATCTACCATTTTTTGGCATATATAACTTTTTCCTGTTCCAGGAACTAATCCTCTAATCATTACCTGTTTCACCTTCTCAATTTTACTAATGATACTATCAGTATCATATTCATCTTCTATCATAATTTCCACACTTCCACATACTGGTATTTTGACTAACTTATTTTCTACAGCTTCATAGGGCAGATTTGGTAATTTAATATCTTCATTTTTGCTCACTCTCCAGCCTCCAATATCATTATGAAAAACTAATATTTCTTTGGCTTTCTCCTCATCTTCAGCCCTGATAGTAAATGCATCAGTCTTGACACTGAATACTGAAATACCAGCATCTCTCAAATCATAGTATGCTTTATGCATTGAAACATTATGTTGTTGTAATAAGATTTCTTTGATATACCTATATCCATTTTTCAACTGTGCTTTATCCTTCAAGATCAAAATATAATATGCTTCTTGTTCAATGTCATTTGATGAACACCTTGTAGTTTTGCCTATGGCTTCTTCTTCATGTTCTTGTATCAAATGAGCCAACTTATGATTTTTTCCTCCATATTCAGCTTGATAAGTTACTGCTTCCTTCAAGTTTCTAAAGAGTAGGCTTTTTTGGTCTGTAGAACCTCCTTTTTCTAATAAACTAATATTAACATTAGCAATACGTTTTTTCATAAATTTATCATTGTCAGTGCTTGCTTCATCAATGGCAGTTTTCCAACGTTCATTAATTGTACTTTTATAATCCACCTTATGAATAAATGACGGTTATCTTAATTTTCTTCTAATTCTTTCATCAGTAATTGAATTTAACAAACTACCTGTAATTAAGTTACACCCTTTATTGAATAGTAATTTTGTTCTATTCAAACATATTGATGGTTGAACTTCTACATAATATAAATGTCAGTTCATGTTGTTTGTCAATATCAATTGTTTCATTATAATTTTTCCAAATGTCAAATTGATTGAATGCCATTATTCAAAAATATCTATAATTGATTTAGTAGATGCTTTACACAAATCAATTTCAACAATATTTCTAGGCATAGTAGCCCTATCCCAAAACAGCCCAACTGGTGCTATGGCTCTGGTCTCATCAAGTATTTCAATATCAATATCATTATAAAAGGATTTATGCAATGGATTACACAAAGACTTGTTAAATCTAAACATTGTTTCATTCATTCTGTTGTAAGTTTGCTCATCCTGAACTGCTATACACCCATCAGCAGAAGTTTTCACTAAATTTTGAGTTTTGATTATGTATGTAGTTTCACCTAATTTAATCCGCATTTCTGTAATTATACCGGCTTGAAATTTAATTCTTGGTTCATAACCACTTTTGATAATTCCAAAGAATAT